CATATCAAGGCAGCAGTAGTAGCAGCAGCCTTGCCCTTGGTGCTGATTTCTTACTACTCTAAATGTCTCCTCTGAGCCAGAATACACTGGCTGTTGCTGATCATGCTGTGAGACACCTGCACTGGCTACTAGGCTTGTCATGACGCACAAAACCCTACCATCTTCAGCTTGACATTGTGCAAGTTATAATTATTCATCCAAATGAATATGTCAGAGCAGCAGCAGCAGACCTCTCATCAGAGCAAAAGAAAAATACATCAAAACATTATCAACCCAGCAGGAAGACAGGGACCATAAGGAAAATTACCCATTTTTAATATGGATGCCACAAAGCCATGTCTATTATTTTACAGAAAGAAAGGAAAATAAAGATCTTCCAAGTTAAAGTCCAGAAACACTAAACCAAAGAGGAAATGTACAATAGAAGACAAGGATTTTTTTTTTAAATCAATTATCTGGAACCTATTTACAGTCTCTTAAATGTAATGTGGACTACACTACAATAGGATCATTTAGGTTGCTTAAGAATCTCAACTGTTTAAAATTGTTTAAAAAAAAAAAAAGAAAAAGAAGAACTTCCACAGCGGAAATGTTTCCTAAAGTCAATGAAAAAAAATATTATACACAGCTAAGGAGTCTGAATTGCTTCTTACTCTCAAACTAATAATGCTAACATTCTTCTGACTAAAAGATATATGACTTCATACTAGCAGTAGCATTGCCAAAATGTTTTATGATATATGTAAACTCTAAACAATATATAAACCGGAAAAGATAATGTCTAAAACAATATGTAATTAATGTCTTTGAAAATATTCTGTGACTTAACAGCATATGTTTAAGACTTTGAAATTCCTCCCAGACCTCCATAATATGAAGACAAAATCTAAGATATATAAGCATATATAAAATATGCAAGTTTTTTAAAAAAAACTCAAGTATTCAACTTTATTTAAGTGTAAATTATAAAATAAACTTGCGGACAGTATTTTTGCTGAAAAAGAAATGAAAAACTTTCTTATTCAAAACACATAAAAGCAAAAAATCATAAGAAAGATAATAATTAAAGAAGATTAAACACTAAAAATTAAAACTGAAAAAAATAAGATACATAAGGATAGTGGTGGAGGTCTGTGGCACTTTGGTGATAATGGAGTTAAGTTTATAACAAAAGCATGAACATTAGTAATAATGTAACCATGTTACCTGAACTAAATTTAAAAAATTAAAGAAAAAGAAAAGAAAACCTACAAACTGACAAATTTTACCATATGAAAAGTGAAAAAACCTATCTCAAAGGGAAAATATGCTTTCATTCTTAGAACAACAACAAAAATAAGTATTTAAAAATGAAAGAAAACTATGTAGAAATACAAAGATTACAAACATAAGAATGATGATCTTAATAAGAATTAAGGTCAGATTAAATTCAGATTCAAAAACAATTTGAGACGGTAGGTATACAACTATTCCAAAACGCATTGCTGGGGTAGAAGTATAAACTTATACAACCAATGTGGGAAGGTAATTTGGCAACATCATTAATCTAAAAAAGGTCCCATTCCTATAATCTGGAATTTTCACTTCTATTCATAATCCATACTAAAAATCTTGTATATGCGTTATAAAAAATATGTAAGAATTGTCACTGAAATACTACTGAACTATGAACCAGTTTATTAGTAAGGCAATGACAAAATTGACAGGTAATTCACGTAAGCATTTAAAATAAACTTACCAGATATAGGGAGAGCTCAAAAGCAATACTGTATTAAAAAGTCCAGACTGCAAATGTTTTAAATAGGGAATAAATAAATGTAGCTAAAAGTATGTATGCAAACACCTAAATTTTAGGGAAGTAGCTAATTCTAATAAAGAAGAAACAGAAAAAAAGATCAAATTGGAAAATACTTATTCCATGCTGATATTGACTATCCTTAGGCAGAGATAGGATACTAAAATTGAAAGAAATTGTCTAGTTAGGCTGGAGCAATAGCACAGTGGGTAGGGCATTTGCCTTGCATGCGGCTGACCCAGGTTCGATTCCCAACATCCCATATGGTCCCCTGAGCACTGCCAGGAGTAATTCCTGAGTGCATGAGCCAAGAGTAACCTCTGTGCATCGCCGGGTGTGATCCAAAAAGCAAAAAAAAAAAAAAAAAAAAAAAATTCTAGTCTAAGAGCTGGAGAGATAGTAGTATCACAGGTAGGGTGCTTTTACCATGCACAGTGCTAACCAGAGTTCGATGCCTGGCATCCCACATGGTTGCTTAAAGACCACAAGGAATAATTCGAGTTCAGAGCCAGGAGTAATCCCTGAGCATTGCTGGATGTGCCAACACCCCAGATTTTTTTCTAGTCTAATAAAAGGCACCAACTAGTTTTTCTAAATGAATGAATATGGGAAGTGTTTCAAAAAATTGTTGTGGATAAGTAAACTTTTTCACAGGTTAAACTCTGTGAAGAAGTTGTATGGTTACCTACATTAGAAACAATAAAGCTCATTGAAAATACATTCTTAAACCTTAACTTTTATAATATTAACATATAATTTGAGAGAATATATCTTCAAACAATACTGCACTCTAAGGTACCATGTTATCTCATAAGCTCCCATTTAAAAAAAAAAACGGTCAAAGTCAATTTTATTTTTTAAAAAGATGTACAATTTATATGTAATTCCAAATCTTAAAAAAAATCAACTCAGTAGGTTTGTTTATTTTGAGGTGATACCTGGTACCCAAGAATCACTCCTGGCAGGGCTTGGGAGACCATACAGAGAACTAGGAATGAACCCCAACCTCATTCAAGACAAGTACCCTGCCAGCTGTATCATCAATCTAGCCCCTAAAAAAGTAGTTCTTATATACTGATAACATACATCAAAATACCTCGTATGTTAAGGCATGCTGAAAGTAGACTATAGAACAAACATGGCTGCCACTCATTGCCTCTTTTGCAAACCACAACACCCAATAGGAGAGACAGACCAGAGGGGAATGCCCTGCCACAGAGGCAGGGTGGGATGTGGGGGATAGAGGGTGGGAGGGATACTGGGATCTGTGGTGGTGGGAAATGGGCACTGGTGGAGGGATGGGTATTTGATCATTGTATAATTGAAACCCAAGCATAAAATTTATAAGTCTACAACTGTACCTCATGGTGTCTCACTAATAAAAATTTTAAAAAATACAAGGTATTTCATCTCCTATATTTCACTCTTGTCTTGATTTCTATGAAACTGGAAAGAAACACTGTTTTGTTCTGTATTTTGGGGAGAAGTCTCCCAAAACTTTTTTTTTGGAGGGCCTCCCAAGCAGCATTCAGGAGCGCTGGGGTTTCCCCTGTGATTCTTGGCCAATTGTATGATAGTGCAGTGGAAAAGCACATGGCTGTGATGAAGCTTTGTGGTGCTGGGGATACTTGGGACATTCTCGCGGTGCCTGGAGCCTCCAAGGCCACACTCAGGATTTTGTAGAGGTCTCCAAGTCTGTACCCAGTAATGCCTGAAGAACCATGTTTTGTTGGCTATGGAATCCAGGTCCAGTCCCTGCAATGTTCACTAAGCACTGTACTTACCTGCTGGTCTCCTTTTCATTTTGTATTTAAAGGAAAAAATGAAAAGAACATTTTTAATATATGTATGATTTAAAAAATATATGATATTTAAACCTTCACAAACAAGATCATGAATTCTGTCAGGCTCTTTCTGTTAAATCTAATTATGTACATAAAACAATTACCTTACCAATTACTTTATCCTGTGCGTTTATAACATCAAATGTTACGCAGAAATGAATTTTCACTCGAAACTATCAAAACTTAATAATAAGAATATGGGTACCTTTAAAAAGTATTTGGAAAAAGTCATGAGGAATTTCTTCTCTTTCTATAAGAATTCTGCTACCACTTTCCATTTTTCTAACTTTAGCATTTACTAGGTTATTTTCAAAAAATCATTAGCACTGTAGCACTGTCCTCCCTTTGTTCATCGATTCACTCGAGGGGGCCCAGTAACTTCTCCATTGTGAGAATTGTATTTACTATTTATGGTATATCAAATACGCCATGGAGACTTTGCCAGGCTCTGTCATGAAGGCAGGATACTCTCAGTAGCTTGCCAGGTTCTCCGAGACGGGTGGAGGAATCAAACCCAGGTTGGCTGAGTGCAAGGCAAACACCCTACCTGTTTGTGCTATCGCTCCAGCCCCCGCCCCCAAAAAAAATCATTACTAGATCTTTTTTTAAATCATGATTATTAAATCTTTCATGGAATGTAACTAATGTTGTCAAATCTTTAAGAATCATATACGTGTAATGATTATGGTAGTACTGAAAATTATATCACTTTATATACAATTACTGCTTACAATGTACTTCTAAACATACTGTCTTAGATTATCATTTTTGTATTAAAAATTCAATTAACAGGGGCAGAAAACAGAAAGGGGAGGAGTCAGAAAAAAAATTTCCATTATTTTTAACACACAGCATGAATGTTTCCAAGCACATACAAAAAGAATGCAGTGTAAGTTGAAGGACAATTTCAAAGAATAAAAAGTGGAAATGCCAGGGCATATTTTTTCTCAACTAAATTCTTAACTTGTAGAACTCAAATATTACTTCATCAATGCTAGAAGTTTCAGCAATATTAAAAATGTTCAGCAATATTAAAATTTCACAGCTTTATAAAGGCTTCTTTCCTTAAACCTAAAGAAAAATTTCTGTCAACAAAAATTCCTCAGGAACATTTTGATTGCATGAGGCCTATGTAAAATAAAGGGGAAAGGATGGATAGGGTGTATGTGGCTGTGTATATGGGTGTGGGTCTGTGTACAGAACCAGAAAAAGAGAAAACGGACATTACTAGAAAGAAGATCTGTAGAAGACTGGGTTATAAATGGAGAAAATAGAAACAAATCACCTTAAAAACTATCATTGTCAATTCTGAGGAAATCAGATATACTTTTCTAATACTCAAAATAAATTTATAAACTTACCTGTGGTGTCCAAGAAAAAGAAAAAGGGACTGGAAAATCCACAAAAGCATCAGGTGATTCTGCAGGGTACTATTTGAGGAGGGAGGGAAAAAGATGATTTTTGCTTTTGTATTCAAATGAGAAATTTTAGAATAAATAGAGTATGTTAGGGAAAGTATTATAAACATAAAAATATTTCATCTAAATGTTAAATTCTGCTCTCAGATTCCACTATGATTATATAATGGAATTATAGTATGTGATATAAAAATGCACATAAGTATATAATTATTTTATAAATGATCACATAAATATGCATTATAATATATATGTTTATATACTTTGTTTATGTAAATAAATATATAAATATGTTGTAGAAGTAAAATATAGCATAATGGTATTAACATAATAAGTGTTGATTAACAATCAAATTACACTTATGGGATAACAAGTTTGGTGATTTGGGATGACAGAGCAATCATATTTAAGTAAAGAATAATGAATTAAGTTAGTGTCAGGTAGCTGCTAATATAATTTGACAGGTGCACCACAATGGATCTCAGTTTCTTTTCTTTAAATATCAAACCAGCTGATAATCAATTTTTTCTCAGTCTATTCAATCTAACTAGACGCAGTCATTATTTAAAGAGACAGTATCAGTTAAAAAAAAGAGAAATGCACAAAAATATAATCAACTTTAAAAGATTTTTGCAGGGGCCAGAGAAATGATATAGTAGGTAAAATACTTGCACTACATGTGGCCAACATGGGTTCAATCCCAGGTACCACATATAGTTCTGTTCACCTATAGGAGTGATCCCTGAGCATAGCCAAAGTGAACCAAAACAAAACTATTTATCATTTTTACAAGTGATAAGTAGAAAAGTGATCTCTAATGGATTTAGAACATACATAGGAAAAACAGGTAGCTATGTTAACAAAGACAAAATGTATTCTTTTTTTATTTAATTTTATTGAATCACCATGAGAGAGTTACAAGCATTCATGTTTGGGTTACAATCACACAATGATCAAACACCCATCCCTTCGCCAGTGCACATTCCCCACCACCAATATCCCAGGTATACCCCCCCTTTCCCACCCTCCCCCTGCCTCCATGTCAGACATGATTCCCCATAATCTCTGTTTACTTTTGGGCATTATGGTTTGCAATACAGAGCCTGAGAGGTCATCATGTTTGGTCCTTTATCTACTTTCTACACACATCTCCCATCCCGACCGATTCCTCCAGCCAACGTTTTCTTAGTGATCCCTTCTCTATTCCAGCTGCCTTTTCCCCTTGGCTCATGAGGCAGGCTTCCAGCTAGGGAGCAATCTATCTGTCCTGTGCATGTACTATCCTTAGGTGTCAGCTTCATGTTATGTTGTTTTGTACTCCACAAATGAGTGCAGTCCTTCTATGTCTGTCCCTCTCTTTCTGACTCATTTCACTTAGCATGATACTCTCCATGTCAATTCATTTATAAGCAAAGTTCATGACTTCATCTCTCCTGACAGCTGCATAGTATTCCATTGCATAAATGTACCAAAGTTTCTTTAACCAGTCATCTGTTCTAGGGCACTTGGGTTGTTTCCAGATTTTGGCTACTGTGAACAGTGCTGTAATGAACATATACGTACAGATGTCATTTCTACTATGCTTTTTCGCATCCTCGAGATATATTCCCAGAAGTGGTAATGTGGGGTCGCACAGAAGCTCAATTTCTAGTTTTTGAAGGACAGTCCATATTGTTCTCCAGAATGGCTGGACTAATAGGCATTCCGACCAACAGTGAAAGAGTATCTCTTTTTAACCCACATCCACACCAGCACTGCTTGCTTTTGTTGTTTTGAATGTGTGCCAGTCTCTGTGGTGTGAGATGCTATCTCATTGTTGTATTGATTTGCATCTCCCTGATGGCCAGCGATGTGGAGCATTTTTTCATGTGCCTTTTGGCCATTTGTATTTCTTTATTCAGGAAACTTCTGTTCATTTCTTCTCCCCATTTTTTGATGGGGTTGTAGATTACTTTCTTGTACAATTCTACTAGTGTCGTGTATGTCCTGAATATTAATCCCTTATCAGATGGGTATTGGGCAAATATTCTTTCCCATTCTGTGGGCTCTTTCTGTATTTTGGTCACTGTTTCTTTTGAAGTGCAGAAGCTTCTTAGTTTGATGTAGTCCCATTTGTTATGTTTGCTTCCACTTGCATGGTCAGTGATGTTTAATCCTTAAAGATGTTTTTGCTTCAATATTGTGGAGAGTTCTGCCTACATTTTCCTCTATGTACCTTATGGATTCATGTCTGATATTGAGGTCTTTAATTCGCTTTGATCTGACTTTTGTGCCTGGCATTAGACAGAGGTCAGCGTTCATTTTTTTGCAGGTAGCTATCCAGTTTTCCCAGCACCACTTGTTGAAGAGGCTTTTCTTGTTCCACTTCACATTTTTTGCTCCTTTGTCAAAGAATAAGTGGCCATATATTTGGGGGTCTGTGACAGAATATTCAACTCTATTCCTTTGGTCTGCAGGTCTGTTTCTAGCCCAGTACCATGCTGTCTTAATTACTGCTGCTTTGAAGTACAGTTTGAAGTTGGGGATGGTGAGGCACCCTTCTTCTTTTTCCCAAGGATTGTTTTAGCTATTCATGAGGGTTTATTGTCCCATATGAATTTCAGGAGTGTTCTGTCTATTTCTTTGAAAAATGTCATGAATGTCCTGATAGAGACCACATTGAATTTGTATAATGCTTTAGGCAGTATTGCCACAAAATGTATTCTTAATAATCAATATTGTTACTTTAAGACTGTACTGCATGATTTTTTAGAAATCCAATTCTGGATTCTTTAAACCGAAATTTAGTTTTTTTTAAAAAATCTCCATTTATTTTCATTAGAAAGCTAAATATTGAAAAATATTTTACCAGCAATAGAAAACAAATTGTCTACTTTTGCCTTTTCGACAGATCTGAGTATTGGAGTAAAATCCCAAATAATAATGGTGGGTGTGGTGTTGAAATGTTGAATGTAATCAAAGTATAGAGAGAATAATTTGGAAATCATCTGCCCCACAGGTAGGGGGAGGGTGTGGGATAGGGGTATACTGGGGATTTTGGTGGTGGATAAATGGGCACTGGTGAAGGTACGTGTGTTTCATTGTATGACCAAGATTTAAACCCGAAAGCTTTTTAACTGCTCTCACAGTGATTCAATAAATAAAATTATAAAAAATGGGGGGAAAAAAGGCAGAGTTCATGCACAATTCAATCAGCCTAATCAGTGGCTGAATAAATAACAGTACTCCTACATAAAATATATGTATATATATATATTTTTTTTTAAAAAGTTTACATTTGATGTTGGAATAGGTTTTAGAATGTCATTCTTTTTATTCTCTTATTTTCACTATTCCATATATAGAGACGTTACTGGGCCCGCTCGAGCAAATCGACGATCAACGGGAGGGCCTTTACCTTTTACCATATATAGGGAAAAGGGAATAAAGTATCATCATCATCATCATCATCATCATCATCATTATTATTATAGTATTTAACAAAGCAGCATCTTTTTATTTAAAAGTAATGCCCACTTGGGGGCTGAAGTGATAGTACAGTGGGTAGGGCATTTGCCTTGCACACAGCCAACCCGGGTTCGATTCCCAGCATCCCATATGGTCCCCTGAGCACGGCCAGGAGTAACTCCTGAGTGCAGAGCCAGGAGTAACCCCTGTGCATTGCCAGGTGTGACGCAAAAAGCAAAAAAAAAAAAAAAATGTAATGCCCATCTGATCCTTCTACTGGATGAAACACTGACTATTTAGAGGAAAAATAGTGACTGTATAGGGATTAAGACACTTGTTTTGCAAACAGTAGATCCTAATTCAGTTTCCAGTACTATATTTGGTTTCCCCACGTACCACCAGGAGTGATCCCTGAGCAGAAACCTGAGTAAGCCCTGAGCACCGCCACTCATGTGGTGTGCCCCAAAGTTAAAAAAACTATTTACTTTTAGTTCCTTCTATTTTTATGATTTATGCCAAAAAAAGTAACAACGATGATCCTCATTCCCCTGAGCCTGAAGATGCCCCAATATGCCATCAGGCTACACTAACATATGACAGTAATGAATGGAGACATTACTGGTGCCCGCTCAAGCAAATCAGTGAACAATGGTGTGATAGTGATAGTGATAGTGATTAGTTGCTTCTATTTATTTCCTAATGATATCAACAATAATAGTTAACTTTCTAGTGTAAAAAATCATCTATGTATGCTCCACAATTGGAAACCTGCCTCATGGGCTGGGGAAGAAGGCAGCTGGGTTAGAGAAGGGATCACTAAGTCAATGCTGGTTGGAAGGATCACTTGGGATGGGAGATGTGTGCTGAAAGCAGATAAAGGAGCAAACATGATGGCCTCTCAGTATCTATATTGCAAACCACAATGTCCAAAAGTAGAGAGAGAGAAAGAAGAAAACTGTCTGCCACAGAGGCAGTGGGGTGGGGTGAAGTGGGGAAGGTGGGAGGGATACTGGGGACATTGGAGGTAGAAAATGTACACTGGTGGAGGGATGTGTATTTGATCATTGTAAGACTGAAACTCAATCATAAAAGCTTTGTAATTGTACCCCATGGTGCTCGAGCGGGCCCAGTAACATCTCCATTGGAGATTTTGTTGTTACTGTGTTTGGCATATCGAATACATCACTGGTGACTTGCCAGGCTCTGCCGTGCGGGCGAGATACTCTCGGTAGCTTGCCGGGCTCTCCGAGAGGGGCGGAGGAATGGAACTCGGGTCAGCCATGTTGGCTGCATGCAAGGCAAAAGCCTTACCGCTGTGCTATCGCTCCATCCCATGGTGATTCAATGAAAACAGAATCATCAATCTAGGTAAAAGTATTAAATTAATAAAATGTTTACCTCATTTAGAATGAGAAAGTCAAGTAAAGTTTGACTTTGGAAGTCATTAAATACCATGGGAAAGTGATACACAAGTAGATACACAAAACATAGGTTACAATAAATAAAATGGAAACCCACGTACATATATTAATCAACAATGTAGTTTCTGAGGTGATATCTTTAAAATTTAATTTTAGATATAATTACGCACTGTCACTGTCCTCCTATTGTTCATCGATTTGCTCAAGCAGGCCCAGTAACATCTCCATTGTGACACTTGTTACTGTGTTTGACATATCGAAAATATCACGGGTAGCTTGCCAGGCTTTCCTGTGAGGGTGAGATACTCTCAGTAGCTTGCCGGGTTCTCCGAGAGGGGCAGAAGAATCGAACCTGGGTCAACCAGGTCGGCTGTGTGCAAGGCAAAGGCCCCACCTGCTGTGCTATCACTCCAGCCCAATTATGCAAGATACTATATAATAAATTAACTTTCTTTATGTATGTGATATGGCATATGTGGTCATTATGTTCATACTAAGATCAATTTAGTTTATATAATCCTTTATAATCATAAAGAACCTAAAAGGTACAATTTTAACTTCTGGATAATCTGACAAAAAGTGTGAACCTAGATATTCATTTTTAGAGTTATAGGTATCATAATACTAACAAAAACATAAATAACTGTATTATAATTACCAGAATTTAGGCAGTTTTCATAATAGATTGTCTAAATAGAGATAATTTATTGTTTCCACCAGTAACTCATAGCCTTAAGTTTGACCTTAGAAGTCTGACAATAACAATAATCCCCATAAAAAATATTGAAAAATAAGAATCCATATTTTTTTCTTTTTGGGTCACACCCAGAGATGCTCAGGGATTACTCCTGGCTCATGCACTCAGAAATTACTGCTGGTGGTGCTTGGGGGACCATATGGGATGCTGGGAATCAAACCCAGGTTGGCCGCATGCAAGGCAAACACCCTACCCACTGTGCTATCACTCTAGCCCCCAATAAACCATTATTTTTAACTAAATGTTTTTCAAATAAAGAAAACTCAGTAAATATAGAATAATATTATTATACAATAAAAAGCATATATTTACACCACACATTATTTTTTAAACTCTATAGTATACTGTTCTAAAGAAAACGTTTAAGCAAGCATTTGTAACTGAACCATGTGAACAGTGAGGCTCTCAACCCACAAGTGAACACGTTTTTACAACAGCAGATTACACAAATGGTTATCACCTAGCATCGCCTAGCATCAACTTTAAATTTATTCATTTTAAATAGCGCTGATCTTGACCAAAGCTGAGGAAGTCCCTAGGCTGTCTTTTTTAGTTAATATTTATTGAAGTACTGTGAATTAGAATACCATTAATGATGGTCTCAGTCATACATCATTATAACACCACATGCATCACAAGATGTCCAAATGCCCACTTCCTCCACCAATGTCCAAAGGCTCCTCCTTTTTAAACACCACTCTTCACTCTCCAAATTCAGTTCTATAAACCAACTCTCCAGTTCCGTATAAGCTACTTCTTTTATGAAAGAAAAGATGGTAATTATATCTTAGTTCAAAAGAAAATATTAAAAAAGATTAACTCATTCTCTTCATTATTTATTCATTTACTTTTCAAACCCTCCCAAAAGGTGCTCAAGGTACCCAGGGGCCATACCCAGCAGTATGTGGCAGATAATTACGAGGGCCCAAGGATGCAGTATTGCTCAGGAGCCACAGTGCTGGGGTTTACACATGCCATCCTAAGGATCTCCAGGGCCAGACCTGGTTTTCAATGAATAATGTGGTGCCAAGGATTGATAAGAGAGTTGGCCAAACACAAGGTATGTGCCTTAACTCCTGCACTATCTCTCTGGTCCCAATAAATTAATTTTTAAGAGTATCTTGTTAAAATTAGTAATTTTTCTTGTTGGTTTTCAAGATAGTGACATAAGTGGTAGAACTAGGAGAGGATATATTCATGAATAAAATCAATTTCATTCCTATATGTCAAAAATATAAAATATAGGTGCATGCATTATATGTACTTGTATTGTAAAAGTCTATTTGGCTTATTTAAAAATTCAACTTGATTCATTAAAACTTTTTTGTATTAATATCGATAGCATAGTGGTAGTGTTTGCCTTGCATGCAGCCAACATGGCCGACCGGAGTTCGATTCCTCCGCCCCTCTCGGAGAGCCCGGCAAGCTACAGAGAGTATCTCGCCCGCACGGCAGAGCCTGGGAAGCTCTCCGTGACGTATTCGATATGCCAGACACAGTAACAACAAAGTCTCCAATGGAGACGTTACTGGGCCTGCTCGAGCAAATCGATGAACAATACTGAATACTTTGGGGTGTTTTTCTCTTTTTTTTTGTCTTTTTATGTCACACCCGGCAATTCTCAGGGGTTACTACTGGCTCTGTACTCAGGATTACTCCTGGCAGTGATGGGAGACTTGTGGGATGCTGGGAATTGAACCTGGGTCAGCTATGTACAAGGCAAACATCCTACCAGCCCTACCAGCTGTACTATCACTCTGTACCATACTGTGTATTCTTACCATATAGTTTCAGCTATCACTATTTTAAACCTCCAGCCCTAGACTCAAATATTCTTAAAATAAAAATAACTAAATCTAAAATACAACTTTGGTCTCTATGAAAGTTTAACTAAAAGAGATAAGTAAAAAACTATTTACTGGTCTAATAAATCACACCAATATAAGATTTACTTGGTTTCACTCTTTTTAAAAAATATTTTTGGAACAAAATTGTTTTCTTCCGATTTTCTTACTAACACAAACAAAGCTTTCTCTTATCACTTATAGGGCATCTGTAATAGAGTTCACAGTTACTGATACAACAAAAACTGACACTTGAAAATATGCTCCAGTGAAATATTAATAGTTTCATCTTATCTTTTGAAATTAAAAAAAGCACAATGGGTCAAATGTGTTGCTATAACCTCTCAGGACCACCAATAATGTAAATAACCAGAATAAGTAATAAAATCTTGTAAGGGTAGTTATAGACCACATATATTTAAATTACTCTCTTCTAATAGAAAACCCTATAGAAAAAAGAGGGTATTTTTAAAATATTTAATTTTGGTCTTTGTAGAAAGCAAGATACTTTTTATCAATGTAAAAAATATAAACAAATAAACCTTTAATGAAAATGATAGAATCCTTGCCACAGGCAGCAGGTGACCTTTGAAAAGATAAACTCAGATTTCTCCTGATCTTAAAACAAGCACTCTTTTAAAAATTAAGAAGGAAAGAATTTTTTTCATCTCAACAGATGAAAGTTATTTGGAGATACATATATAAAACTTCTTTTACAAATAAGATTTATGTCCCACTAATATTTTTTCAATACCTATCGCAAGTCTGAAAATTATACCTACACATTCGGTATGTAAAAAAAAGGCAGTCATTTCTCAACCTGTTTGATACAAAGACACTGTAAGATATCAACTTTTCTGTGTCACACAGTACAGCTTTATATATTAATTTTCTCTTGTGGAAAGCTTAAATGCCAGACACATTTTTAAAAAGGACAAACACAATTGATCTTTTCATCACTACAATCTCCTGAAATAGAGTTGATTGATGATTCCTAGGAACAATACAAAAACACACAAAAAAAGGCAGATGTCCTGATTTTCTTCAAATTGTTTCCTTGATTATTAACAAATTAATGATTAATATACAGAACTTATTTTACTCAAAATCTAGTAATGTAATACAAAAAAATGGCTATGTTTCTTGCTAGTAAAATTAGTATCTATAGATTATTAATCTGTAAGGGTTGTATAAATAGATGTAACACATATAAATTCTTAAAAGTGAAAAATTCCTTTCACTTTTTACAGAAGTGAAAACTTCAGTCAAAATCAAAGTTTGAATATGTGTTTATTTACACAGGGGATAGGGAGTGGGGTGGGCAATTACAGTAAGAACAGCAAATGCAATTTAGAGTTGAAAGTAACAAACTTAAGTAGAACTTAACTTATGGTGAAACTTCCAACTCTTCTATTATATCTTACAAAACTAAGACTGCTTAAGACTTCCTGAGAATGTTTTTTAAATTTACTTTGAAGTTTATGTTTTTATCAAATTTGAATTAACATAGGGACGGGAAACTATATCTGTGCCAGTGAAAACACTGTACATAAATGCTTTGATGCTTTTCAAAATTAATTTTTAAAAGCACCATACAAACTTTTAAAACTAGCACCTCTTTATACTAAAATGATTTCGATTTCATTTACAAAGTATTTCCTATTACCTAACCACAGTAACAGTTCATCAACACACATACCTTCGGCTTCAATTTGAGAGTGATAAGATGCTCTCTACCAGAAGCATCTTCAGCTTTTAACTTGATGGTACTGAAGCAAGAATCCACATAAACAAGTCTGGTGAGAGAGAATAAAAAATAACCATTCAAGGGATGGCACAGTGTAGAGGAGGAGAGGCTGAAAGATGACAGAATTCAAAATAAAAATATTTCTATATCCATATTAATCCACTGCAAAAATTAATCAGAGGGATTTCTGCACATCAGCCCTTTATGCTCCTATAGATTTACTGCAGTTAATACACCAGCCTAGTGCTTAATGCAGTCATAGATCTCTGGATTATTTACAATGTGTGTCAAGGCTCATGCTGTGGTCAGTGAGCACTATGTTTCGGTTTTCCATCACTGGAACCTTTGGCACACACAGCATGTTCCTGTCAGCCTCTACTTATGTACACATTAAACTTTCTGTCAAACTATTTGATCCATTTCTGTAGTTTCATACAGTATGAGACTTTTATGCTTCCTTTATTTGCTTTTCTCCTCAATGAATTTCTCCTTTATTATCAATAATGTTACTGTCCAAATATCTGGCTGATATTAGTTCATATACTCAAATTGATCCTCTAAGGAAAATGCTGTATAAGCACAGGTACAGCTTGGTCTCCTAACAATAAATTTTCTTTTTTGTGCAATATATGGTTTCTGACACTTAACCTAGGCATGTGTTCAAGATGAATAATATTTTAAAAATATGGCACAAGCAAAATTGTTTTGGCTTAAAGTTGCTCTAAATGCATGAATTTTCTACAATGGAAACCAAGACCCTTTGAAATATATCATTCTATAAAAATATGGTCCCTTGAGTGGCATAAGCTACTGCCAGAAAAGTTCAAATTTAGCAGTATATTTACTTGTGAGCTGGACATGTGGATCTCTTTTGACACTTTTACTATATTATTTTCTTGTACAGATAAAAAGAACCTGAAGAATATTATAAAACTTATAACCCATATCCCTAATAAGATGAAGACCCATTAGAGTCCAGAAATTAGTAGCATCCAAAACTAGAAAATAGTTTTTAAACATCATTATTTGCCTTTAGTCAATGGTCATGTATTATGGTGAAATGATTCAATTTCAAGAAAATGAGGGACAATAAAGTTATAGATCACTAATAAAAATTAGATATAAATCTAAAGGCAATACATAGTCGCAAAAATAGAATAAAATAAAACAATGGCAGAAAATTTAATCATAACTATAAAAAGTCTAGTCATTCTAAAAATATATTATTTATATTAAAATATCCACAATTTTACATAATTTTCTTTCAGCTTTATCTGGCAACATTTTAAATTCTTCTAAATTTAGATATGGGATTTATCACATTTTACAGGATATCTCTAAGGATCAAATAACAGATATTTGACTCTTAAAGATACTGGAATTTAGATTCAAGATGTAGAGATGAACACATGTATATATGCTCTATCAACTTACTAAACTTTTTTCAATAAATAAAAATTACAAACTTACAAAAACAAAAGAAACATTACTAATAAAGCAAACATTCAATGGATTTCATAAAAATGCAAACTGGTTGATAAAAGATAATATTCAATAGAAAGGATCCTGATGGGTATTAGGTAAATATTCTTTCCCATTCTGTGGGCTCTTTCTGTATTTTGGTCATGGTTTCTTTTGAGGTACAGAAGCTTCTGAGTTTGATGTAGTCCCATTTGTTTATCTTTGCTATCACATGCATGGTCAGTACTGTTTCATCCTTAAAGATGCTTTTAGCTTCAATGTTGTGGAGAATTCTTCCTACATTGTCCCCTATGTACCTTATAGGATTCAATAATAAAAAAAAGGAATGTAATGTGGGAAAAAAAAGAATCCAGAGGGCAGAAGAGACAGTACAGAAGTTAAAGTGCTCGCCTTGCATATGAATAACCCACGTTCTATCTCCTGTATTACTTATGGTCCACCAAGACCTATCACAATGATCCCTGAGGACAGGGCTAGAAATAAGTCAGTTTTGCCAAATGTGGCCCCAAAACAAAAACAAACAAGAAAAGGAAAAAAAGGGGGGAGGGGTGGAAACACTGGCGAAAAATAGCACATAGAATAGAGGGCAAGACATAGTCTAGAGGAAATTAAGTAAGTTTGGCTTTAAAATATAAGAAACCAAAAAGGGTGGTGGAGTTTGGAGGAACTCTAAGGTCTAGGCCAGGGCATTTTCCCAATAAAATGTTGTATTTTTTCTTAAAGACACTAAAAGAAAAGAGAACATTTTAACTAAATTACAAACAATAAAATGATGATAAAATTTTCAATATGCTTTTCATTTTAAAGAATTTGTCATCAAGGGTCTGAGTGATGATAGTACAGTAGGTTATCATATTTGGTTTGCAAAGTTTAGGAACAGAACTCCTAGAACAACCACCAACTGGGAGCTCTTTGGCACTATTGCGGCAACATGGGAAGATGCCATCGTTGAAAACATTTGACAAGGAATACGATCGACTGGTTCAGCACCTCCATGATTGTGCGAGGAATGCCAAGAGACAGCCTCAAAAAAATGCCTGTCTCCAAAAACTCTTGAGCTCATTTACCAACGTGGCTTGCCGCAAGCCTCAGGCAACCACAAGCCAACATCCGATCTCGTAAAGCAATGCAAAAAAGCAATAAAGACCTCAAAGAGAGAAGAGCAGCAGTGCTGGCAGATGCGGCAGATGCCGGGAAAAGCATTCTCAATGCCCACCTATACTTCGCCAACTACAAGACCAAGATGACTGCCCTCTGACGTCCTGCTGGGTCTATCACATCTTCCAGAAAGGCAATAGAGAAGATTATCCATGACTTCTACTCAGATCTCTTCGATAGCCACGTCCACCTGCCCATATATCAAATTCCGCAGGATGAATATGTTGTTCCCAATGTTCTCCCTTCAGAAATCCGACACGCCATTTCATCGGTGAAGAAGCAAAGGCACCTGCTCCAGTCAAGGTCAGACCCGAACACCTGAAGAACCTGCTGTCAGTACTCATCAATACACTGGCTTGGCTCTTCAAATACTACCTGTCTGAATGGAAGGTTCCGTCCCAATAGAAATGGAAAGTAGTACAGCAGGAGTGTACTACTGTACAAGAAGGGAAACATCCACAACATTGGCAACTATCGTCCAATCTGCCTGTTGTCTGTCGACTACAAGTTGTTCACTTGAGTCATACTGAATAGGATTGGCAGAACACTAGATAAAGGACAACCATGCGAACAAGTCAGGTTCTGAAAAGGATTCAGCACAATCAACCATATCCACATGATAACCAAGTCCATTGAGGTTTCTCGGGAGTTCAAGATGCCGCTCTAATGTTCATTGGTTTAAAGAAGGCCTTTGTTTCTGTTGAGACTGAAGTGATCATCAAAGCCCTAGCCAAACAGGGCATTCAAACTCAATACATCAGGATCCTCCGTGAGCTGTATCATGGACTCACTACCAGGATCTCACCAATCTACAAGGATGTGATCATCCATGTTAAGAGAGGGGTTCAGCAAAATTTCACCAAAACTTTTCAGTGCCACCCTGGAGAATGTCATTTGACAAGTGGAATGGGAAGGAATGGGAGTGAAGATAGATGGTCGGAAATGACACCACCTCCGCTTTGCTGATGACATTGTTCTAATAACATCAAACATTAGCCAAAGGGCACAAATGCTGGCCAATTTCGACCATGTGTAAAGGTAGAACTACAGCTGAATCTTATGAAGACAATGTTTATGGGAAACGATCTTGTTCCTGATGTTCCATTCACTCTCAATGGAACAAACATCTCTGAATGCAACAGTTAATGTGTACCTAGGTCGAGAAGTCAACATGATGAATGACCTGGCACCTGAGTTGCGCAGGAAGAAGAGAGCAGCCTGGAACACCTTCAAAAGCGTCAAAGAAATAGCTAAGAGGAAAAAGACCGTCCAGCTCCAGGCACATCTCTTCAATTCCACTGTTCTTCCCGCATTAACATACGCCTCAGAGACCTGGGCCCTAGGAAAATAGGTTGAGAACACTATTCGGGTCTCCCAAAGAGGAATCAAAACAGTTATGCTTGGAGTATCACACTTCACTCAAATGAGAGAAAGAATCCAGACTTCCGACCTTCATCAATGATCAAGAATCAGGGACGCTATCTCATTTGCCAAAGCATCAAAAATCAGATGGGCTGGACACATAATGCAATTTGGAGAGAACCGCTGGACTAGAGCCATTACCGACTGGATTCCAGAGGATGTCAAAAGATCGCGTGGCTGCCCACCTATGAGATGGTCAGACTTCTTCGTCAAGATCCTGAACGATCAGTTTAAGGCTATTCGTATTCCTAGAACAAGCAGATGCCATTGGGCTATACTAGCACATGACAGGGATGAATGGAGGCATTACTGGCACCTGCTTGCGCAAACTGATGAGTAATGGGATGTCAAGTGATCAAGTGATATAGGGAGAATATGAATACTAAAATCTGTAACTGTTTTGAGATTAAGATATAACATCTTTAACCAGACAGGCAAGAAGTTTAAGAAATATTAAAGTCAACTATGAAAGAATAGAGAAGGCAGAGCACATTTGAGCTAAAAACTTTCATTTGTAGTAATTATTGAGCATATAATTTTTAAACTAAAAAATCAAGCAATATTGGATATAAGCATCATGGTCACGGTCCTCCCGTTGTTCATCAATTTGCTCGAGCGGGCCCAGTAACATCTCCATCCTGAGACTTGTTGTTACTGTGTTTGGCATATGGAATATGCGTCACAGGTACCTTGCCAGGCTTTTACCGTGCAGGCAAGATACTCTCGGTAGCTTGCCAGGATCTCCAAGAGGGGCAGAGGAATCGAATTCGGGTCAGCCATGTTGGCTGCATGCAAGGCAAATGCCCTACCTGCTGTACTACCGTATATAAGCATATTATTTAAAAATAAATTGTAAACATAAACATTTCACAGTATCTTAAAAGAATAAAATTGGAATAAGAAATGACATGGAAAATTTTTGATAGTAAGATTGTATTTATCTGGAATGTGGATAATTTGGGGTTCTTTTAATAGTGGATTAGCACA